GGGGGGGCATGTGTGTTTAATTATTATTTTACCTAAAAGGAAATTCATTGGAGATAGTAATTTGTTGTGAAACATGCTCCTTTAAATGAGTTATTTTTTCAATGACGAAGTATTTTGGGGACAAGTTCCGAAACTTTCTACCACTTGATAAACGGTGGGTAATGCCTATTGGGAGGAGTAGTATTCATTGCTGAGCTCTAAATTACCTCCAGCCATGTAGGAAAAAACCTTATTGCCTCTAAGGAAAGCCGTGTGAAATATATGATCACTGCGCAAGTGTGGTCAAGAAAGTAAATAAAATGTGAGGATGGCTAAGGTTAAATGTAAGGCACTTAAACCAGGTTCTCAAAGAATCCATAATTTCTGTGGAATTCAGCTGCAGTTACATGGACTCAGGACTTGAAATACTAGGTTTTTATTTTGAATGCAGCATCTGACTTTTAGAAGGTATACGAATAGGCATCTGCTGTCAGGAAGCAACTGGAAGGTGAGGGACCTTTAATTAAAGATATATAAACCATGGAATATGTAGCTGTGTTTTGTGCAGTAACAAAGACTACATTCGTATCATTTTAGTTTTACTTTTAGATTTTCAAAGGGCTTTCAGATAACGACCGCCCCCTGTGCTGCGTTACAACTTTGGTTAGGTTTTGGTTTGGTTCCCTTGGGGAATAACCAACGTAAAATTTTGCAACCGCAGAAGCACTGTTTGGATGGTTACCAGTGACACAGAGAGTAATTGTCAAATTATGATTTAAAAGGTGTCGTGCTTAAAAAGCTTCTTGAGTGGCAGCGGTTTTGTTTCTGGTGGCTGAACTATTTACTGCAAGGCAAAAAGGCCTGAAAGTGCTCCAAAATGGGTTTTATAAATGTGAACCCAGAGAAACTCTTCGCTAGGGTGAATTACAGAAGCTGTGCGTTTGTAGTCTTTTTAGCACTTTTTTAAAGCAGTGCAATATAGCAGGTTACACATTTGGGAAAAGAAAACCAAGAAGTCTTGACTTGTACTTCCCCAGCTGTAACCAGTGCAGCCACAATATAATTAAAGCCCTAACTAAATGATGCACTTAATTAAAGACAAAAACCAGCCTATTGAAAACGGAGGGAAATAATGAGCTATTTCTTGTTGTACATGATCTTTGTATACAATAAAACATGTGCTAAAGTGTTTTGCGGTTGGCTGGCATTTCGTTTGCTCTTTACAAAAATGGGAAGACAAGGAGCCTAGTGGGCTTGGAACACGGTTTGCACCCAACAGGCGGTCTGCAGATCAGAAAGGCGTGATCACTTACTGATTTAAGAAATAGGTGAAACGAAGCTCAACGGCTATCATCACTGAGCCTGTGTCACCCTCCCTTTTGGGCCGGCACAGCTGTTCATACGGCCAGTCAGTGAACCATTTTGGGGAACTGATCTAGCAGAAGAAAACAACTGGTTTAGGGGGGAGGGGAGGCTGTGGTTGTATTTCAGGTGGATCTCTTCTCCAGCACTGCTGGCGAGGAGACCGTGCGAACAGGGGTAGCCTTGCCGAGGGGACCAAGCAGCTGGAGGCAGAGGTTGTACAACGCGTTGCCAAATGTTTAACAACCAAACCCTGTAATACTGTTAAAAGGTGAGGGGCAACTAAGTGGAAATACCATAAACTTCTGGGTAAATATGTATGGCTGTGCCTTATACTATTTAAGATGTTAAAGGTACATTTGGGTACATTGCCCAACTTGTAACAATACAAGCGACAGGAAGGGATGAAAAAAGAAATGAATTTCAGCTCCTGAGACTCATAAGCAAATGTGATCACCTCTCTTTCTGTGCACTAGTATCATCAATAATACTAGCAAGAAAATGCTTGCGGCTCTGGGAGTGTGACAGCTAAATGATCGCTGCAGACTAGCAACGGGAGCTCAGAAATTTAAGACTGTGGGCTCTTTGTTAAGGTAGCATGTCTCAGAAACAATACTTTACAGGTAGGAGATTAGATGGTATTATGTAAGTGGAAAAAGCAAGTCTCCTATATGGTTCTTTTTGTAGTGTACCAGTGCAGCTTTTGGACCTTGAGTTATGCCGAATTCTCTGCTAGGTTTACACAAAATTCATCTGGGCTCCAGCCAACGGGATTTCAAGGCAGAAAAGGAAGGAGGGCTGAAACCAAGCAATCTGCTTTTTTAATTTCTTCTGAAACAATAGTTCCTTGATGTGTTATAGACACTAAGGAATACTAATATCATCAAGTCAAGAGCTCTTTCCAAATTGTGGCCCTGACAAAATCGTTGTGTTTTCTGATGAGGTACGAATTCCAGTCTTGTACTCAGTGTAGTTCATATAGAGCTTGTGCTACAGATGGAACACGAAACCCTGTTCTGTCTGGTTTCCAGCAACACCATATGTACGACAGAATCCTAATTTGCATGGCTCTGGCTCAGATTATGTCAGTATTTCAACGATAAAGCCCTGTCTCGGGAGTGGATTGCTCAGCGTTTTTTTATTTTAAAGAAAGTGAGGCGGGGAGGAGCCCTCAGAAGTGATAGTTTTGTTGGGAAAAGGGGGGAAAGAAGGGAAGGAATTCAATGGAAGATGATACTTTGTCATCCTATCCTGATTTGAGGCGAATTGGACAAAAAGTAAAATTTCTTTCCATCACTTTCTTTCTCCACATGCTCTATCTGTCAGCGAAGCTCTTCCATTGAGTTAAATGAAACAGAGAAAAGACTTGAAAAAATTATTGCAAGACAAATGTATTTTTTAAAAAATGCTGCATCAAAGCAAAGATTTTCAAATATAAACAATGAATAGCTTTGATGAAAATTATCTGAACACAAATAGTGCAGCGTTTGTCAAAAACACAGGGTGTAGAAGAAGCTGTGAAACCGTATGAGGAAAAGCATGACTATATATTAGAAGAGAAGGACAGGGAAATTGGTCTAGCACTCCGGCACAGCAGTGCAACAGAAAACTGTTCTTAACCCCCCCCCGAACTAACTACTACTGTTATCTTTCTTACATGTAGCCATCAGCCTGAGCAGAGATCGTTTCTGCTCTTACCCCCAGAAAAGCAATTTGCAAGCTCATATTATCTGCACAGTTTCTTGTCTTTTGCACAATAAATTCTTTGGGAACAGTAATTTTTAAAAATCGCCTTGTATATTGCAGCATAAGAGACAAAAACATTAAAACTGATACAATCTATGAGCAACAGACCTCAGAAGAGCAAATTTTGATCAAATTGCAACATCTCCTGCACAGAAGCTACAGTGAAATAAGGCAGCGTTTGCAGGTTGGCACGAGCTGTGCAAAAATCGGTGTTTTACTTGAAGTCCAAGAGCTTGTAGTGATGTTACTACCTGATAATCTCAGCTTTAAAAAGATTCATACTCCACTGTGGGGAGAGGAGGGAACTGAATCACAGACTCGTAAATGCTAAGGCTCTGCGTGACAGACGAGCAGTGGCCACAAGTCATGTCGTTGCATTAGGCTCTCAGCTCACGATTTTTAGGTACTTGGGGCTATCGGAACCGTGCTGCTCTCCTCAGCTTTTCCTACAGACCAAGCTTCAGCAGCTTGAGAAACCTAACCAGGGTGCAGCTACCATTTATTGTGCAGGCATCCAAAATGTGGGGTGGGTTCCTCCGCGGCTGCTCAAATGCGTTTTGGACGGCCCAGTACCCCCGGGGCTTTCCAAGACTGGCTTTCCCCCGCTTGTGCCGATGCCCAGAGCCGGGTCCTTTCCCTCCCTTGCCTTGACGCCACAGAGCGGAGCGACAGAGGGACAATCTCTTTCCTAGTACCGTTTATCTGCGGTGCCAAAATTCACTGTGGGTTGCCGGGACCCGAAACCCTTCCCATAATCAGCAGTGAAACAGTTAAAGACGTTCCCGTTCAATTCGAATGCCGAATACGATCACCTCACGGCTCACCCTAAGCAGGGAGGGGAAGATTGCAACTCTGAGTGCCGTTTGGTGCCGAGGTCTGCTGTCGATACGAGCGGCCAGGGCGGGAATTGGCCAGAAATTTCCTGCAAAACCCCTGGAAAGCGCCGGGTTCTCGGAGCCGAAAGAGGCTGACGACCGTCAGAGCGGGCTGACTGCAGGGCAGGTTCCC